ATTTATTTTTTGTGTTTAATTTAAGTTGTGTTTAAGATTTTAAGTTAGAAGAAAAAAAAACGTGGAATTAGAATAACGAACGAACGTTATAGCAAACGTAAGTTTTTCTTTTTTTTTTTTTTTTTATTAAAAACTTTAAAAAGGGAAATGGCGGCGAGGAAAAAAATCATCCCTTTCCACCGCGCAGATGTTTTCGTCGTGGTTTTAGACGCGTGTATCAAAGTGTATTTAAAACATCGAATCGAATCGCGGTTTTTTTTTTTTTTTTATTATCTTTTTTTTTTTTTTTCTTTTCTTTTATTGCCACGTTTATTTATTTCGCCTAGGGAATGTTTGGCAAGAGCAACGTTGCCATTAACTTGAAATTCTTTTTGCCGAGATCCTAGACCTGCTTTGTTGTTGTTTGTACCTTTTCGTTCTCGTTGTCGTTTTGGTTGTTGTGGTTGTTGTTGTTGTTTGCGATTTATTAATTTTTTTCTCTAACACCATTTTCATCGTCGATGATAATAATAATAATAATTAAAATAAAAAAAAATCGAGGGAAAGAAAATAATCGAGATGATGAATAAAAATTTTAAAACTTTTTCATTTTTTTTTTTTTTTTTGGAGTTTTTTTTCGACGGAAACGAGTCGCCTTTAAAAAAAATTGTTCAGAAAAAAAAAAAAAAAAGATTGTTCAGACTCAAAAAAAAAAGAAGTTTTCTGTCCTTTTTTTTTTTTTTTTTCTTTAATGGCGGTCATATTTAGAACGAAATTAATTTCACTGCATCTATTTTAGACCCATTAAAATAATAAAAAAAAAACGTCTGCTGTTTCATTTCGGACTTTATTATTATTATTATTACTTAATTGGTTTTATTATTATTTACAATTGAAATTTTCAATCCTTTGGGAAGGTTTTTCAGGGAAAAAGGAAATAATTTTTTTTTTGTTTCCGTTGTTTGACGCGTTTTTTGTCGTTGCAGCAGCAGCAGGTGCTCCGCTTCCGGTAGGTACGACGAATCTTCCTTCGCCGTGAAAATTATTATTATTATTATTATTATTATTATTATTATTATTATTTTACATCGTTCGCGAATGGATTTTACCTTGTTAAAGTACATTGGATGAGAGTATTTTTTTCGTAACGGATCGAATGAGGAGGAGGAGGAGGAAGAAATAAGTACCAAAAACGTCGAAGACAAAACTCTCGATTGTGTTACCATTTCTTATTTTGTCGTCTGCTTTTTTTTTCCTGACATTAAAAAGACGTTTGTTTCGTGGTCGATGGTTATTATTCGAAAGAGTGTCCGATATATATAAAAAACGATTTCGTACGTGCAAACGTCGATGATGTTGAGAATAATGGTCGTCATCATCATCATCGGTTACGGTGGATTCCGTATATCATCGATGGATGATTAAAAAAAAAAAAAAATGGCCACCGAAAGAACGACGATGGATTTTTTCTTGTTGGTTTCTCCGCGTCCATCGTCCACAATTCCACGCTTTATTTTTTCATATTTTGTTCTTTTTTTTTTTTTTTTTTTTGAATTTTTCACGGACGCGTATGAACGATTTCACGTGTGTTACCCAAAGAGAGAAGAAGAAGAAGTTTCCCCTCCCCTCCTATTCGAGTTTGCGGTGATTCGAATTTTTTTTTTTTCTTAACTTCCTTTCGATTCTCGATCGATGGATCGATCGATTTTTTTTTTTTTTTTGCTTAAAGTATTATTGCCATCCATGTACGGGGATTAAAATTGTCGTTACGGCTATTCGAAAATAATAATAGTAATAATAATAATGATAATAAATGACTTTTTTTTAGGTCTTTTTGTTAGTGTATAAGTCGCACATTTTTTTTACGTTTGCAGATTAGTTTCGGCTCATTGAATTTATTATTATTATTATTTTTGATTGTGAATCGAATTCGTGGATTGGTGGCGGTGGTGGTGGTGGTGGTGGTGGTGTGACCTGTGGTCACGCAATCGAGGAAGAAGAAAATAAAGAATTTCTATTAGGTTTTCGAAGTAGGTGTAATAAATTTTTTTTTTTTGTTTAAATTTTAAAAGGTTTTGTTTTGTCTCGAAGAGTTTTTTCTTTCTACTTTAGTGATAATGATAATAATAATAATAATGATGATAATAATAATAATAATAAAATAAAAACAAATATTAGCTTTCGGTCTATGATGATGGTGATGATGATGATAACACCATCGTTATCTCTTTAGTTTTTATCCGGTTTTTCAAACAGAGAGAGAGAGAGAGAGAGAGATAGAAGTTGTCATCATCGTTCCATTCAATTGAAAATACAATCCTTGGTACCACGTTCGTTCTAAATTTTTATTTTAATTTTTTATTTAATTTTTCGTTCGTTCGTTTGTACGTACGTTAGTTTGTTAGTTAGTTACACGTCATATTTGTGTGTGCTTGGTTTTTATTTTTTTTATTTTTTATTTTTACTTCCGTGCTTTCGACATGTTTATGCGTGGATCGATGAAAATATTTATTTGGCAAATTGTGATATCTCACCCACAGAATCATTGTTTTCTTTTCTCTAATGCCACGAAAAGAAAACAAAAGAAAAACGACATTGAAAAAATAAATAAATAAATGATTTCATTCGACACGTACACGTTAAAAAAAATAAGACTGTTGGCCCTTTTTTTTTTCCCTTTTCTTTTTTTTCCGGTAAGGTCTGACTTACGATCACACGACGATGATGTTTTTAATCGTGTCATTAGAATGTGAGTTTTCAACAGTTTTGTTTTATTATGAAACAAAAACGATTGTCTCCCTCCTTCTCCCTCCTTTTTTTTCAAAAATGGTTTTTATACTTTTGTCGATACCGCGATTGTCATTATTATTAATTTATTAGTGACGTAAGAATCATTAGTTTTAATTAATAATGATGATAGTAATAATTAGAGAGAGAGATTTGACGACGTAATTTTAGAATAAATATTATTATTACTATTATTTTGTTTTTTTTTTTTTTTGTGTGCGTCAAATAATTTTGTTACCTGTTACGATGCGTTCCATGTGAGAGAGTCGAATGAAATGATTTAATACTCATCATTGTAATAATAATAATAATAATGATAATGATGATAATAATAATTGTAAAATTGCAAGCAAAAACACTTTCTCTTCGAAAACTTTGTTTTTCCAAAAAAAAAAAAGAAAAAAATCTTAAAATGGAATTAATTGAAGACGAAAAAAAATAAATCGTCGGCCTTAATTACTATCGTTATTATTATTATTATTATCATTATCGTTATCATTAATAATAATAATATAATGATATAAATTAAATTAATTAATTAATTATATATTTATTTATTTACTTATTATTATTATTATTATTATCATGATTTCGATTACTTTCTTTTGGTTGATTACCCGAATCAAATCAAAATGGCATATAAATGCAAGTCATTGATATTTTTTTTCTTTTTTTTTACGTACGTTATGAGGTAATTTTAAAAGAGAGAGAGAGAGAGAGACTAAAAACACGTCGGCGTTATAGCAATAATAATAATAATAATAATGTGAAAGAGGGAGAAAGAGAGATAGAGAGAGGGTTTATAAAAAAGCCAATTTAATAATCAAAATAAAATAACTAACCGAATAATAATATTTTTTTCTTTTCCCTTTCCTCCCCCGACCCGGATCCCCCTTTTTTCTTTATTTATTAAATCAAAAAAATTATTTAAATTAGTTAAATTATTATCATTATTATTATCATTATTATGAATGTGTTCATTATGAATGTGACGCCGATTCAAGTGAAATTAAGTTTTTTTTTTTTTTTTTTTTTAAATTGAATTTATCTATTACGAATTGTGGTAATAAAACGAGGAGAAAGTTTTTTTTTTTTTTCGGTGGACGATAATGCACCCAAGATGAAGGGGGAAGGGAGGGAGAGAGGGAGACGGATAGAAAGACAGACAGACAGACAAACAGAGATAGACAATCGGGTTGTTGTTGTTGTTTTTGTTACTATAAACCTATCGATGCATGGCATTTAAAAAAAAAAAAAAAATTTATAAAATAACGAATTGTTTTTCATCGTGCTTCGACTTTTCTCTCCCCTTCTCCTCTCTTTCTACATCACCCCCCGTTCGCCTCCCCTTGCCCTTGCGTTCGTTTGAATTTGGCTGTTTGTGACTTTTCTAGAGAAAACATGAAAGAGTTATTTCGCGTTCTTTCGTGACTACGAAAAGGGGAAAGTGGCAAATTTTTAAAAAAATCTTTCGGCATCATTATCAATCATTATTAATTCGATAAAAAAAAATTTGATTCGATGATGATGATGATGATGATTATGGTGGTGGCGGGGCGGGGGAGGTGGGGGCACGAATTTACGCGTGAATGCGTGAGGAAAATCTTATAGGTAAATAAATGAAATTTAAAATTTAATTGCGTTAACCTTTTCACGCACTTTTCAAAAAAAAAAAAAAAAAAAAAAAAAAAAAAAAAAACGTTACGATAATTTAACTAGGTTATCTATCTATGCTTTCCCCCTCGCCTTCCCCCCTAGCACCTCCCCCCCCGTTTTAATGACCTTAAAGTAGTTATATTTAGTGAAGAGTTGTTGATTGTAGTTTCTCTTTCTTCTATGCGAAGTTATGGCGGAATGGTTTTTTTTTTTTTCTCAGGATAAATAATGAATGCATTGTTGTTGTTGTTACTTTTACAAAAGAAAGAAAATAGTTATATTATTATTATCATTATTATTATTGCTACAACACCACCTAAACTTTGTTGTTGTTATTATTAATAATTATGTTTATTTTTTACGGTTTTTTTTTTCTGTTTCAGGTAACCGAAAAAAAAAAACTTCGTAGGGATGAAATTTCCGCGTCGCGAGTACACGTGCATCATATGAAATAATAATAATAATAATAATAATAATTTTGTTAACAAACATTGTTTTTCTCTCGTCGTCTGAACATAAGAAAAGTTTAACAAGGGTTGAAATGATGATCGAAGGATGAATGTTTAAATGATCGGAAAATGTTTGGTAATTTCGTTCAACGCATACAAGAATCGTTCAGTCCGGTGACGTCACCGGTGAGTTCGCCAAAAGTTTTGGGTAGAAGATTTAAAAGTCCGAACAGAGGACCCGCACCCGCACGTGCGGCTGTACCACCTTCGAGTCGTCACCATCACCGGGGTCCGAATTCCCGTAGGAATCACAAGGAAGAATATCGAGAAGTTCAATCCGAACCCGAACTCGACGTGTCCACATCGTCGTCGACGACGGGAAGTAAAAAATTATTGGATAAGAGAAAGGGAAAAACGAGAGGGAAGATATTGAACATATCCGATCCGATACCCATAGACACGGGTAAATTTACGACGAACGGTAACGGTTTGGCGATATATTGCAACGCGGAGGATTTGATACTATCATCTCCGGAAAAATACAATCGTGATGATGATCGTCAAGGGTTACTATTACCATCATCACCGTCGTCGTCGTCGAATCGCAGGAAGAAAAATGTTCAGTACGAAAGTTACAAATGTGGAGATATCGGTAAGGTGATGGGGGTGAGAAATAGTGGTGAGAAATCACATTTGAAAGAAATAAATCAAAACGGTTTCAATTACGTGAATAGTGTACCCAACATAGTGGACGAAAGTTTATACGAAAATCATTCGGTTTCGCGTGACGGAAAAGGAAGTAGAAAGGAAAACATATGTGAGCCCGTGGTAGTTGGAGTTGGAAATCGTAAAAATTCAAGATTGCAAGAATTTCAAAGGACGAGAGAAGAAAATATATATGCAGGACTTGGATTTGCACCCTTGCAAGGATCGAAATCCTTGGGAAGGCTCGATGGAATCAAAGAGGTAAGTGTTAATTCCTTTCTTTTCTTTTTTTATTAAACAAACAAACAAACAAACGAAAGAATTTTTTATTTAATATCGTCGAGTTCTCTAGTACTACTACTACTACTACTATTGACACGTGCGATGAACTCACACTCTCTTTGTAAAAACTTTTTTTTTTTTTTTTGTAAGGTTTCCTTTCGTAAAATAAAGGCAACGCCTTGTTAAAATAACATGTTTAAACGATTCTTTTCTGTTGTTGTGTGCGTGTTTGTCCACCACCCCCACTACCACCGCTTTCCCTTTCGGACACTTAATATATACGTATATCATTTCCCTCATTTTTCTTTTTCTTTTTTTTTCTAGAAGAAATTCAAACCGGTTGTTGAAATCCGATACGATTTTTGTTTGACAACAACAAAAAATCAATTTTGTTTTTTTTTATCAATACTCTCTTCTGCCACTTTATTATTTATTTTTCCTTGCTTTTCTTTTTATTTTCACGACGTTGAATGTAAACGATTATTATTATTATAATTATTAATATTATTTTTTAATTGCGTTAAGAGAAAAAAAAAACCTGTTATGTCGACATTTTAACACATTTTAATCGATACGCGGTTTTTTTTTGTTTTGTTCTGATTTTCATTTTTTCTAAAGTTTTCATTTGAAGGAGGACGAGGGGTGGGAGGTGGGGAGTGCGCGTGTTAATTTTTAAAAATTAAGTATGAATTTTCTGCGTTTCCACCCCTCCCCCGACAAAGAAAAACAATATAAACGAACGAAGTAGGATAAATAAAAAAACGGTGAAAGCGATCATAAGTCAAAATTTCGTCGGTTTTAACCGTTAAAATAAATTTGGATGAAATTTGGCGGATAGGCGGAGACGCGAAAAAAGAAAAAAAAAGTGAAGGCGGGAATGCGAAAAAAAAGAAAAAAGACAAAGTGAACGTTAAAGAAAAGATAATAATAATAATAATGAAAAAAAATGTAGGTTTGCGTATACGCACGCGTAAGAAATCATTCGGAGATGACGTAAGATGACGTCAGTTGATGTGGGAGGGGGAGGGGGGAAAAACGCGCAAAAAAAAATTTCGTACGTACCTTCTTAAAAAATTACTCATTCAAAAAGTTAAATAATAATAATAATAATAATAATAATAATAATTTCCGTCGAAAGAAGTAATAAAATTGTTATATATGGTTAGTAAGGAAAAATGGCGACGTGTGGATGCTGGAGAAAAGTTTAAAATTTTCAATCGAATCCCTTTTTTTTTTTTTTGCTATAAAAAAAAACGAATGAATATAGTATAGCTGAGAAGCTATAATAAATTATTACGTCATTAATTTATTATTATTATCATCATCATCATCAAACGTAACGTATTATTTCAATGGAAACGAGTCAAAGTATTTGGTTTAGTTCGTTTTAATCGTCAAAAGGGTTTTTTTTTTTTTTTCGTATTTACCCTTTATCCTGTGGTTGTTGTTGCCAACTTCCGGTTGATATTTTTCAACTATTTCCGGTCGGTTTAAAAGAATCACTCGATTCCGGTCTGGGTCTTTTGAAATTAATTGAGTTTGAATTTTATCAGGAGAGTTTTAAACGTGTTGAAACTTCATTTTTTTTTCTTTTTTTTTTTGCTTACTAACGAATAAATAATTATCATTATTATTATTATTATTATTATTATTATTATTATTATTATTATTATTATTATTAATTTTTATTCGATTAAGCAAAAATATTCACGCCAGCAAATTTAAATTATTATTATTATTATTATTATAATTGTTTACTTCAGACGATTTTTAAAACGCTTTAAAAAAAAAAAAGTGCCAAATTTTAATTTTTTTTTATTTTTGCTTTCTCGCTGGATTAAGCAGTTTTTTGTTTGTTTGTTTGTTCGTTCGTTTGTTTGCTTGTTGCTTTGAAAATTCATTAAAAAAATTAATAAATAAAAAAACCATCGGATTGAAAATTTATTTTTTTAGGGGAGGGAGAGGAAAAACAAAAATAAAAAAAAATTTCGAGTGTTTTTATCTTTTTCTTCTTCTTTTTCTTTTCGCAAATAGAATTTTCTAGGAAAAAAAAATATGGGGAGGGGAGGAGAATGGGAGACAATTGGACTCGTTTCCGGTGAATGAAATCGATCGAGTTTTCATTTCGTTTCCGCCATTTTGATTTTTTTCCTCCCTTTTTTTTTTTAAATTTGTCGGCGTTTATATTACCAACCTATTTATAATTTTTCTTTCGTGTGTTCGATTGTTGTTGTTGTTCCTTTTTTTTTTACGTCATTGCACAACCGGAAGTATCGACATGTAAGGGAATGATGATTTGAATCGGAAATCGTTAGCGCGATAATGATAATGATGATAATGATTATTACGAAATGAAAATTTTGTCGTTTTTTTTTTTTTGTAAACGAATACAAATTAATCATTATTATTATTATTATTATTATTATTATTATTATTATTATTATTATTGTAATTAGACTAATTCAAAATCGCAAAATTTTTCATTAACTTTTCGTATCGTTTGTTTATGTATACAAACAACAACAACAACGATTTTTTTTGTAAATAATTAATATTATCGCGTTTTACGCGTACGCGTGCGTAAATCTTTGTCGTAAAAGCAATTAGGAAAAAAATTACTTTTCATTTGTTCGAGACGTTTCTGTTCTAAAAATTTGTTGTTGTGATTGTTGTTGTTGTTGTTGTTGTTGTCGTTGTTGATTTTTTCCCGAATATTTAACACGTTGTACGTAATTTTCCGTTTTTTTTCCTTTTTTTTTTTTTGTTTTTACGACTACATCGTAAAAACAAATCAACTATAAAATAGAACTATTTATTGCTCAATGGTTAATTTATTTAATGGATTTCTCTCTCTCTCTCTCTCTCTTTTTTTTTAGGGAATCAATTTATATATGTAGCAGACGATGTTTTAAGTCGTCGTCATCATCATCGTCGTTTGTTAAGTAAAAAAAAATTTTATAACGCCATTTACTCAAGGGCGTTAAAAAAAAAAAAAAAAAAATTCGACAAATTTAAATTTTAACGATGATGACGATGATGATGATTGTATTCACTTTTTTTTTTTCAAATGTTGGCTGCACTTCGGAAAATTAAAATTACTATTCCATATATATACACTAATTTATTTATCGAGGATATAATTTTTTAAACGTTTTTTATAATCGTGTAAGAAGAAGAACAACAACAACAACAAACGTTGCGTACAATTTTTTTGTGTGTTAATCGAAAACGTGTGGAAATTAATTATTATTATTATTATTAACGAATCGGTGTAATTAACGTTAATTAGTTTTGTTAATTGAATTTTTTTTTTTTAACTTACTTTGTTTAATAATTAATAATAATAATAAATTTTAATATGACGTGTGAGTGAGAGAATTTGTTTTTGTCGAATTGTTGCGTTTCCGGTGAGTGAATTTCCGTTTTTTTTTTTTTTAAATTCGAAAAGGTTTTGCGTGTCAACAAAAAAAAAAAAAAAAAAAAAAAAAAGAAAAAAAGGAATGTTGTGAATATTTTTATCTTCTGCTTTATTAACGGATGTTGTTGGTATTTCCGTTATTTTACCGAGAATTAATAAACCTATCTCTCTCTCTCTCACGCTCTGAACTCGTTATTATAATTTTTTTCCGGCATTGATTTGGTATTTACGGTTTTTCCCCTTCCTCCCTGTGGTAGAATGAATGAAAACTGGAGGACTGGAGGTAAAAACCAAAAAGGCAAATTTTCTGGAATATTCTTCGAAAACGGGAGGGGAGGGGATTTTTGTTTGTTAAAAGAATTCGTTTGTAGATATCCGTTGGTAAAAAAAAAAAAAAAAATTTTTATTTAAAAAACGAAAGTGGTTTCGGCCGCATTTTTTGTTTGTTTTTTTTTTTTTTTCCCCCAAGACTTGTTGCGAATCGTTGTTGTTGTTGTTGTTTTGCTGGAGAAAATAAACGGTTTTAATATGATGGGGGGGGGAGAAAAAATATTCAAAAATTCACGTGACATTTTTTTTTTTTTTTATACGGATGTAGTTTTTTTTATTTGAAATAAATTATCGGGTTGTTGTTGTTGGTTGTTGTGTTAAGGATTTGACGAATAGCGCCGCTGCGAGATTGTTATCAATCACAAAGAATTAGGGCCCTCGGGGCCCCATTCGAAAAACGGACGACCTCTCTTGCATTCTTACTAATACCAATAAAAAAAAACCTTGGAAATGTTTTTTTCATCGCGCGGAAATGGGACTCCATTTTTAATTTTTCATTCGATCGAAAATTTTGTACCCCCGAGGGTTTTACCCTCCCTTTCTTCCTCACTTCCTTCCCCCCGAGAAAAAAAAGAAAAAAACAAACTCCTCGCACGAGGATCTTACGCGATCGAACATAAAAATTTATTTGATTTGATTTTTTTTTTAAAACATTGGTGGTCATTTTCAAAATGGCGGAAATGTATTATTGACGCTTTCGAATGTTTCGTAACGGAAACGGAAAAACAATTTTTTTTTTGTTTTGTTTTGTTTCTGCGTTTTCACAAATTGCGAAACTTGACTTTTATTTTATTTATTATTATTATTAATAATAAAACTCGAGTTTTATTCATTTGTATTATTTTAAGACGATCTCTCTTTCTCTCTCTCTCTCTCTTATTTGACCAATAATTTGAATCAAGTGTGTGTGTGTGTGTGAGTGGGGTCAACGTATTTGACCGAAGGAGATGGAAAAAAAAATACTCGAGTGAAAGTGTTTTTTTTTTTTTTTTTAGTTTCTCTTATCATCATCATCATCGTGGTGGTGATAATGATGATGGTGGTGGTGACGGTGGTTATTTTTTATTTACCAATAATATACTACAGCCACTCGAATAATCGAATATTACGAAATTTTTATTTAAAACCATTAACGGCCATTAAAATCGTCATTGAGGAAAAAAAAAAAATTTTTTTTTATCATTTTCCGGTTTTAATCTTGCACCTGAATATCATCAATATCGACCATAAACGAAGTCGTCGTTAATAATAATAATTATTATTATTATTAATGTAGAATCATGACGAATGGGATTTTTTCTTTTTTTTTTTTTTTTATTGAAATTTTATTTTTGCATCCATTTTGTATACATATATTATTATTATTTTGAATTCGAAAAAAAAGCATTCGCGGCGAAAGTTTTTTTTTTTAAATTTCGCGCGCAAATAAATTAACGAG